GGCGACGAATCGGGCGCATGACTTCAGGCAGCTTTGGAAGGAACTTGGAGAGATAATTGACAAATTCGTTGACGCGCTGAATGCCCTCGACGTTTTGTGGCTTAGGCATCTTCGTGATTGCCTCTACTTTAGCCAGATCGGGTTTCAAGCCCTTGTTCGTCAGAAGATGTCCCATGAAATTTACTTCGCTCATCCTCAGCTTCATCTTGACTGGGTTAAGGACAATGCCGCGATCCTTGCACCTTTGAAGGAGATCTTGTAGACTCCTGTCATGGTTTGCGGTTGCTTCTTCATCGGTCTCTCCAGTGTCACAGGCGAGGATGTCGTCCGCGGTGCACAGAACACCAGATAGGTTTTTTGGCGCGTGAGTCAGGCGCTTCTGGGATATCTCGGATGAGGTGGAGAGACCGAAGGGCAAACGAATCCATCTGTACCTTCCATAGGGGGTTGGAAAAGTCGCGAGTACGTTCGGTTCAGGGGCGAGGACACAGTGCAAGTATCCCAACTTGAGGTGAACTGTCAACAATACTCTTGCTTTTGAAAGTTCCTGGAGCATGTCCTCTAGTACATGGAGCTCATACCTTTCTCTCTTCAGGGGGCCTCTTCAGGGCGGTGTTAAGCGGCCTAGGATTGATAGAGATTCCCAGCACTCCGGATTTCTTCACAGCCACAGCAAGACTACCAACCCATGGAGTGGGCTCATTGATTAGAGCAATGACCTCCAACTGCTGTGGTCTATCCAACTCTTCCTTTAGTTTACTTTTGAGTGACACTGGGACACTAACTCCCTTTAAAACACTTCTTGGTAGCTTGCTACTATATCATGTGGTTCAGGTGGTTCTGTGATCTTGAAGTTTTGTGTGTTGATAGTAATTTGAGCCATCTGTTGAGCCGCTTTTGCTTCTACGAGTGGCGTCAGTTGTCTGTCGACGACAAGGAATTCCATAGAGAATTTTTCTCTTTGGATTGTGGAGAATAAATCGATAGGAGCCCAGTGGCTTTTGTGCTGTTTCATTCCACATTTCAAGCGTCTTCGTGGTGGGCGCGATCTTCCTGTCAGCTACAAACTTGACGGCAATGACATTCACCGAGGCGCCGCTGTCTACTTGAAACTTTACTGCTTTCCTGTCAACAACAATTCCAGCGTAGATTACTTTTGGGTAAATGTTCTTGCGTGACGGCGTGTATCATTTCCTGTTGTGCAACAATGCTTGTAATGTACTCTACTCATCCCTCAGGCTGTAAACGTTTCTAGTCGGTGCTGTGCAGGTTGTTCTGAAATGATTTCTGCCACCGAACTTTGTACATTTTAAATGAAGAAGCCTTCTCAAGTCTAATTACTCAGAAAATAAATTTTCTAAGTTCCCCAACGGAGTCGAACCCATGACCTTCCAGAATACCTTTTTGGACGCTCTAACCTCTGAGCTATGGAGGACTCATGGCGAGTACGGTCGTAAGCTAGATTCTTATATTTTGCTCCCCACGCTGGGCACTTTCCTTTTTCGAAAGGATGTACTTTGCCACAGAATTTGCATGTTTTCAGTTTCCCCGCGCGGCGTGTTCTTTGACTTCTCGTAGCGGCGGATTGATGGCGGATGTTTATCTTTCTTAGTTCTGGGCGCCAGAGATCCTTTTCAATTGCAAATTCGTCGCTTCAGATCTCTTGCAAAGATCGATACACTTCGACAGAGTAAGATTCCGTTTTTGTAGAAGCCATTTGCGTACGCAGGGATCTTGGACGCCGAGAACGATCCTGTCACGAATGATCGAATCACGCATGCAGTCACAAAAATTAGATGTTTTTGCCAGTGTGCGAAGGACGGTGACATACACATCAATGCTTTCGTTTTCCTGTTGATTTCTGGAGTTGAAAGTGTACCTTTCGAAGGTTTCGTTCAGCTCTGCTATGGGGAATTCCTCGAAATTTTGTATTGTCTTCGTCAGGTCATTTTTGTCGTCTGGACTGTCGAGTTGAAAGCGGTTGTAGATCTTCAACGCATCGACACCGATCCAGTAGAGAAACAATACGACTCCCGGTTTTCGTCCGTGGCTCAAAAACGTCCTAACTTTACTGTACTGCCGTGAAAACGCAACAGAGGTAATTCTTGTATCTGCTTATACAGACCCTCTCTTTGACACCCGAAAACTGTGAATTAAAAACAATCTCTTACCTGACTATAAATGCCTAAATCAAGGGGGAAATGTTGCTGTATGTGATTGCGGTACCAGGAATTCGACACAACGGAAGCCACAGACGGAGTCGGCCTCACAGCCACCCCAAAGTTCAGTGAAGCACAGGTAGCCCATAAATGATGTGCGTTCTTGCGAAAAAAATCTACTTTTAAATTCAAAACAAACGAGATGACACCTAAATCACTTCCTTGGTTTGTCTTTCTGGCTCGTAAAGGCGATTTATCCTGATTTGAACCCAACGATAAACCCTTCACTGTGAAGCTAAGTGAGGCCTACTGGGTCCAATGCTTTTGCGAGTACACAGAAAGTTATGTACGGGGAGGTTCCCCCGAAGTCCAACCACTCATCCTTTGGGTGTCAAAATTGTGGTCGTATTTTAAAAAAAGGGGGTTTGTCGGGTTCTTCACAAATGACCGGCAAAGCGATTTCTTCGGGCCAAAAACGAGGTGGTGGTGGGGTGAGTTTCTATTGTATCTCTGCTTGAAAATGGCATCGGGTGAGTTTATCCGGGTGGGGTCTGGTGAGGAAAGATTAGAGGAATAAAATTAAGACTGAAACAGAGTTCTTGTACTCAAGCTGCCAAAAGTAAATAAGCTTACCTAACATCAAGGTTAAGGATATTGCTTTTCACTGTTGTGGGGCCGGAGAGATGAATGCTTGAGTTTATTCGCGACATCGATGTTATGCAACATGGGTCAGATCTCGAGTGACTGAAGCTAACCGGCCAGCTGGTGCGAGAAATATTGCGTTAACATGTGACGTTATCATTTTCCAAAATAAAAAATTACCGATCCTTTTGAAGTTCTAGTTTCATCACATGTAAGACCCTCTAATAACTTGACGTTTTGCAACGTTTAAGCCCTACAGGGTTCCTCATTTTGTAATAGAGCCCGTTTGAATTTCTAAGTCTATGCGTTGCCTCATGAATGGAGGCCCGACAAAGCTCTTGAATAGGTCAAAAGATGAGTTATTGCCCAAGTTTTTGCTAAATTAACAGTTCTTGCTCTAGAATTAATTTTACTGATTTTTAAGTATTAATTTTAATTTGTCAGAGCTCTAGAGTCATAACTTTCCGTTTCGATGGCACAACTCAAGATGACGATGTTTCTGTTGTGCGCCTCGGAAGGGCACCAACATGGCGTCCCCATACAAAGCTCGAATGAATAACCGCACAGACCTAGATCTTGGCGAGGTTGTTTATATATCAATCATCCTTCATATCCCAGCTTCTTGACCTAATTTGTTGACTGGTTACGATTTTTACTGAAATTTCAGCCCAGAAAAATTGCGTCTAGGGGAAAAACTTAATATTTTTTTAGTATAACACCACCTGTGATTTTTCTCACGCTGATTTTGACCTTAACGAGTATAGAGGTGGTATTTCTACTGGCCGGCTTATACTGTTTATACAGGCGGTGTTTATGATCTCTTTGTAGCAGTGCATTTCGCTACTTTTAATCTGTCGTCCTGTTGAATAAAATGCCGGATTCAAAGCAGCAGTCCATAAATTGCTCAAACAGGACGAAGACTGACTAATCAGTGCAAACTGGTGAAGCACAGTTATCAGTGGTAAGCTTACGTCGATCTCGTCTCTTTCACTAGCAGAGTAGGCCATTTCCGAGTGGCTTTTGCGCGCCTCCGTGTCAAAATTAAACGAGTCTTCGTGCGAAATCCTTTATATGAAAATCTGCTTCCCCAACAGGTTTTTTTCATGGAAATCAAATTCACTTTCCGTGAAAGGTTTTCGACGACGACTCGCTTTGAAACAGAGGCACAGAGTAACTCTAAAATGGCCTTACCCGTATATTTGTATTCTAGGTTTTAAACTGGAACTAACTTGCAAGGGAGGCTAATGCGGCGGAATATAACCGGTCGTGACGAGCGTTGGCCTTTCTTCCACTTCTCACGTCAATACCTTTGAACAAAATTGGCATCGCTTATACTCAAGTTCTGCAGGAGGAAAAGATCTTTTCAATGATACCCAGATTAGAGTGATTGGGTCAATCGAGCCTGAAATACGCACGAAAATGCTTAAAAATTAGAATGAAAAACTGGGGGCTGGTCAACAACTGCAGCAAAAAGATACGAAAAGGCGAAAAAGGAAAGGGAAAAAAATTCAAAATTTTAATTTGTGCGCATAATATCCCCGAGCAAACATTGTCCAAAAAATGTGTTTTTCCCAAAATGCGCCAGTTGTCAATGGGTTTTCATTTGCATTTGAAAGAATTCCCACATTAGCCTCATTTGCAAACCAGTTCCTGTCCAATTACCGAGAATACAAGTGTTTTCTTCATCACATGATAGAGTTTGATTTACAAAACTAACAGTTAATCCCAACCGACCACTGTTGCCGAACACTTTCTTTCTCATCCTCATCACTGTTACACTGACATGCATGTAATCCCTCTCGAACTTATCTACTCCTCACGTGATTCAATCAGAAAAGCCATAGAGTCCTCTTTAATAGATTTAGCGGTGTCATTGAAACCCCACGGTATGAATAGACGTGATCAATCGTAACCTAAGTAAACCCGTTTTATCTTACTCTATTTAGTTTGTTTTGTTCGTCATTTCCGCCACTCCTTTTAGTTTCGACATACGTGTTACGACAGCTACCACCATATAATATTGTAATTTCATTTTTATAATTTAGTATCATCTAAACCTGAAGAAGGCTGATCTGTCCAGCCGAAATATAGTTTTAAATACACCACGTTGTGTCAGCCTTGCAATAGTCTTGGACTTGTCATCGTTTTACTTTTCAAGTTTGGCTGATTAGATCTCCTGTGAGATCCAACGTTCAATCAAGCAGGATCTTCGTTCACGGCTTTGCAGTTTATTTAGTTTGATTTACAGCTTCTGGCTACTTTCGCGGATTCTGCATTTAGCGCTGTTTGGAGTTTTCGAAATTTGAAGCAACTGACAACTCGAAGGTTTGTACTGATGGTAGTGTAAGTTTCTAATAATTATTTTTGGTTGTTATCGTTTTGGAGATCGAGCCTAAAAACGGAAAGACGATTAGCTTTTTTAGTAGTATTTCCTTGAGTACGCCCTAAAAGATACTTTGACGCTTAAAATAATGGCGTTTCATCATGAACACCCCAAGTAAATCAGAATCCTTCAGCTTATTAGTCTGCAGTTCCCTCTCGGTAGTTGGGGAGAAAACAGGGCGAGCGACCGAGAGCCTGAAACAGGTTATCAGTAAGCGAGACGTTGAGTATCCATGTCCAATTTATAAGGGAGCCCTCCCGGGTGGTTTCACTCATGTTTGGTTGCAGTTAGCATTCATTTGTTGGAAAGGACAGCGTTTAATATTGTATCTGGCCTATCCGAAAAATAATTTAATTACGCTAATCGCAAGCAAACATAAATGGAACTAACTACCACTAGCATTTAGCGTTCACCTGGCACCGGCATAGTCAATTGAACCCAATCAAACTGAAAGTTTCAAACGTTTCAGATGATGTACATACATTTTACCAAAATCTGAGTTACCATGGCAACCTAATGATGTCATACCCCATTTTACATGAGACTGAATACGACAAATATGGAAACATGTTTTCAAAAACTTTGACAGCGTTTGGAGAAAATTGCAGGTGGCGTTTCAAGGGGTCAAAATATATCAAAAACAAAAGTATTTTAAAATGATACTGAAAACATTGCCCACTATACTTGACTGAATGACCTAAGTGAATCTTAAAACCTCCAATTACCTTGAATGAACTTCGCCTAATTTTCAGAAACATTGGTTTGAATATCAACTGATTCGGGGTGTTATTTTCTTGCTTCTTAAATAAAAAAAACTGACCCTACAATTATAAACTTGGTAGGAAATTAATAAAACACGTGTTACTGCTAATTTCTGATGAGATCAATCAATATTCAATGCAATCACTGAGCAAGGGCGTAGCTAGAGGGGGTTTCCTTGGGTGCCCGTGACCCCCCTTTTGTAACCCTTTTTTGAGCAAACAACCTACAACAGGTGGCGAGAACGCCATTAAGTCGACATGGCAATCTGGTGAGTACCCTCACTTTGACAGTGTGACCCCCCCTTTGAAAAATCCTGCCTACGCCCCTGCCGAGTTTCAAATTTATTGAAAATATTAGGATAGCTAATTTTCAGCCTAAACTCAGGAAAATTTTGCGTCTATTTTGACGCTTGTGGTTTCTTGTCCTCATTATGAGTTTCCACATTTTCTTGAATCACAATGCCATTCCACATTAATTTTCTGAATATGTTGAATTCGTAAAGCATGTGACTCCCGGATGTGATTGCTTTTCGACGATTTTCCGGGAGCATGCTAAAATCTGCCAATCTAGCATTCCAATAACAAAAATTATTAATTATTTATTCACACTTTCACTCATCTTGTGCTAACCCAGCCATGCTGAGGGTAGGCAGTGAGCACAGGCGGAAAAATAGCTATGCTAAACTCAAAGAGGATCAAAGAGGGCATCCAGTAGTCAAGAGTGATTTACCGCTTATCAAAATGCTTACTGTTTACCCTCACAATGGTCGTGTTACTGCTATGTGATAGCAACTTAGTTCTTGGTAAAATGTACCTTATCCGAAACTTTCATTCTTTGGCTTACTCCAGCAATGTTTGATTTTCTTTTTGATTGATTGTTATGATCCATATGCTCTTAAGGTCACTCCACTGAAATAGAACCTGCACTGAGATTTTTGTGAAACTTTGCCTATTGATTGTTTATATTATAGGAACTTAAATTCTGAAATAAAA